CTTCTGGTAAGTGTAATTCAAAGACCAGATCTTGAGTGACATGTCACGAAGAGATGCATAACTCTGTCAGTCATTACGCGCCCGCACCGATCTTCGGTGTCTTTACTCTGTCTTACTATCGAAGGGTGTTGCGTACAGGTAGGTAGGTACGTAGAGAGAGAGAGAGAGAGAGAGGTGCAGTGCACTTAAAACTCATTCACTTGCTAGAAGCAAGGCAAGTTAGAAGTCCTACAACAGCAACGAACAGTTAGGAAATAGTGGCCGCTGAATGAATCACGGAATTTAAATCCCCTAGTAACTCTGTTCCGTTTGGTACCAAAGGAGGTGGCTTTCAAATTAACATAATTTAACTCACCAGCCCGACACAACGCGTAGCTGCACCTCAGACCCGCATCTGCGTCATCTCATCACCGAATCAGTTTGTCGTAACTGCATCACATTTCCCTATGCCTTCGTATAGGCTCATAAGTGTACATCTACGTGGAAGTGCTGTACAGCAAAACAGTGTAGTTTTGTGAGTTTCTTCTGCCTTGCCACCTTGGGTCTACTGCCCACGCAAACACTCCCACTACAAACTGAGTCATGCTAGTTCCAAGCTCACAATGACCTTCACGAGGCGAGTCCAATTCTTACCAGTTAGTCATCTCGGTGTGGATTTACAATTAAGCGTCAAAAGTATGCAAAGGATGATTCCTTAGCAGTTACTATTTGACAAAAAAGCTGCAGGGTTAAGCCCTGCTGAATGACAACTACTGTCATTTTCAGATGCTTGCTTCTAAAAGGACTGCTCGTCATGCTTCTGAAAGCTAGTCGAACACAGGGCTTCGAACTCGTGTGGACACCTAAGAAATACTGTCTAATCACCTGAACCGTTTGCTACTTTGTCTGAGCTTATGAACTCCCCGGTCATCCACCGTTAGGGGGTAAAAGCAACAACAGATCAGACAACAAATATAGGTTATGGGTGCCAATCAAGCATGATTAGTTACTTGTATTTGAGCCGATTAGTTCCTGTTGTTAGATAAATCGGATAGCGGCGACCCATTAGCAGCGATCGGAAGCGAGCTCCTCGCAAAAGGTTATCCAGTTTTTGTTCCGGTGTCACTAGTCGTAAACGGTTACGAGGACTATGCATTCGACGTCCGACGTGGCAGTGTTGAGTCACATTTTCAGATGACCGCCATGTCGGTAGTTCCAGTTTGCACTACGTGAGGAATTTACGGCCAATCTGCAGAGGTTCGTCGATGGCTTGCGCAGGACATGGCCAAACCAGTGAAATCGGCGATGCTAGACTTGGTAGTTTGAAACATCTTCGATATAGCTCTACATTGGAAATTCGATCCTACCAGAAGATCCTCAGAAGCGTCGAAGACACCAACGGTCAAAGACTTCGAGCGATAGGATGTCTGCCTTTCTGACAGGCCATGTTCCGCAAACATATATTTATACTGGTCTGACTGATACTCTGTATATCAGCAGCTTAGTAGGTAAGCTGATGTCTGAGCGAGACTAGAGTGTTCTGGCTAGCAGCCTAAATGAATTTCGAGCCTGTGCGATTTGGTTCCTGATTTATTCTTTGGCCTGTCCGTTGGTTAGCATATTCGAGGCCAAATAGCGGAAGAAGCTAACTTCTTTGATGGGTTTACCGCTGATAAACAGCGGTTGTGCTGTGCCAAGATGCGAAGTCTGGAACTTCGTCTTGCGTATATTAATCTTCATACATAAGTGACGCTGACTTGGAAGTGTTTACCCAGAGGTCCATATGTTGGCGACAAATCCATCCCGCGATTGACGTATTTCTTATCTGGGATGCAGGCTTCCATTAATCTTTGGCCTGTCTTTTTTCTAGTTTGGGCGATTATCTTAGGGGCTGCAAAGTTAAACTCGTGACTTATTTCTAATAAATGGGCAGCCACTTGCGATAATTCTTTACCCTGCCGCACAGCCAGTTTATGTTCGTGTATGTCCAATTTGAGCACGCGTTTGCTCTAGCCTGCATAATTATAAGGACAGTTTAGGCATGGATACGATAGCCTACGCCTGCTTGCTCCCTCAGATTTAACCGGCCCTTGAATTACATGCCCTTGCTTTGCATTCTACAGTTGGCTACTGGGCAATTTCAACGTCCAGTTATATAGCAATGCGTTCGGTCGTCTCTTAATTGCCCCCTGTAAAGGCCTAAGCATAGATCAGTGGTGTTTCATTAGATTCCTTCGGAGACGGCGTGGCGATGAAAAGTCAAACGTGGCTTCAAAACGGGTCACGAGGGTAAGTTCGCAGTCACGACGATAAGTGTCAACGCCGGCACCAAGACAATCCGATAATTGATTGAAACCTTGGCTTCGAATGAGAGCGTAGTCAATCGATATGTTGATTTGGCTTCGGCATATGCAACCCTGCGCAAACAATTCCATGCCGGCGTCACAGATCATTGGCAGGCAAACACAACCTAAATGTGTTGCCTATTCCTTTGCTGCTTTTACCTCCGACGATGGACCTCTACACAAGTCCGAAGGTTGAGACAAATAAACAAAATGTTCAGTGCACGACTACTCACATTTCTTACCCGTACGGACACCCAAGATTTGAACAGTCGTCTCCATTGGTATTACCAAAGCTGACCTAATTCGACGTTTCTCAGAGCATACTGCAGTTATGCCCGTTTAGGGGTCAAACGTGAAGGTCTTAGCAGGTCGCGCTGTAGTGATTCCACCTGCAAAG